AGCCATCTTGGCCTCCAAGGAGCACTCTGGCTGCACCTCTTCCAAAACAGATCTATTGGTTCTTTTGGCAGTCCATGGCACTTTTAGTATTCTCCTCCAACACCACAATTCAAAGGCATCAATTCTTCTACGGTCTTCCTTATTCACTGTCCAACTTTCGCATCCATATGAGGTTATTGAAAATACCATGGCTTGGGTCAGGCGCACCTTAGTCCTCAAGCTGACATCTTTGCTCTTCAACACTTTAAAAAGGTCTCGTGCAGCAGATTTACCTAATGCAATACGTTGTTTGTTTTTTTGACTGCTGCTTCCGCAAGTGTTGATAGTTCATCCAAGAAGAATGAAGTCCTTGACAATTTCAATCTTTTCTCCATTGATAAGAATATAAGGGGAAATCATAGAACTTAAGATCAACTGTAAAATATATCCATATATATATGTGTGTGTGTATGTGTGTATAAACAAGCACACTCAAAGCAAACTCACTGCCATGGAGCGGATTCCGATCCAACGCAACCCTATAGCACAGCGCAGGGCAACTCCATAGGGTTTCCAAGGCTGTGAATCTTTTAAGGAAGTACACTGACTCATCTTTCTCATGCAAAGCAACCCGTAAGTTCAAACTGCAGACTTTTTGGTTAGCAACTCAAAGCTTAACCCACTGTGCTAACAGAGATCCATTCTACATGCATTCATATATGTGTGCATTGTTGTGAAGTGACCTCGAGTCATTCATGCATACACCAAACCAGAAACCAAACCCATCAGCTTCTAGTCAATCCTGACTCAGAGTTACCCTACAGGTCAGAGTAGACTAACTGCCCCAAGGTTTCGTTGTTGTTTATAAGTTTTAAGTTTTTATTGTGGATTGGGTGAAAGTTTACAGGGCAGATCATCAGTTTTACATTCAACAGATGATACACCTTGTTTCATTACAATGATTATAATCCCCTCCATGTACCATCAGTTAATAGTATTTCTCTCTAGTCACTTTAGCTCTTTTTTTAAAACACTCAGGCATATATAATTTATACCTCCAAAGGGCAGGTTCTACAAGTCTGCCTCCTGGCTGCCAGCTCTCAGTCCCTCTCTTTCCATGAGTCTAGAGTCCTTAGCTGCTCCCTATCTCCATGTCCCGATCTCTGCCTCCATCTCTGGTGCCAAATTATTTTGTTTTTTCAAATTGTAGTTTGTATGAAAGTGTACAGAGCATATTAGTTTTCAATTCAACAACTTATACACATTTTCTTTTATGGCATTGATTGTCATTCCCTCATGCAACGGCACTCGTCCACTTACCTTTCCTATTTCCCTGTTTCCATTCTTTCCTGCCACTTTCTGGCCTTCTGAGCTTTGTTTTTGTGCAAAGGTTGCTCTTTTGGCCTTCCATTGATTGTGTTGAGCAGTACATTCCTCTCTGGTGTTAATATTCACTTTATAGGTCTGTCTATTGATTGTCTATAAGTTGAACACTGGAGGTGGGCGCAGTTGCAGATTTACAGGGTGTCTAAGGGCCACAGTCTCAGGGTTACCCAAGTCTCTATCAGACCAGTATGTCTGGTCTTCTTTTGTTTTTAAATTTGATTCTACATTATTTTTCTCCTTCTCTGTCTCAGACTTTCTATCAAGGTTGTAAATCGTAACAGAAGCAGAACTATCACATCTTTCTCCCAGGGAGTTGGTGGGTTCAGCCAACCTTTCAGTTAGTAGCCAAGTGTTTAACCACTGGGGCACCTATACACACATACATCAATATAATAGATATGCATGCACATTATATTTATTTATATGTTGTTGTTGTTAAGTGCCGTCAAGTCAGTTCCAACTCATAGCAACCCTGTACAGAGTGTCCAAGGAGCAGCTGGTGGGTCTGAACTGCTGACCTTGTGGTTCGTAGTCCAGTGCTGATTCTACAGCACTACACCAGGAATGGGTAGGTAGATAGATAGATAGACAGACAGACAGACAGACAGACAGA